ACAGGATCTGATCCAAGAGGTGAATTTAGCTGAACCACTCAGTAACAGCAACCATAATGTAATTAAATTTAACATCCTTGAAGGAGGGAAATACAAAGAAACCCACTACAGTAGCACTTAACTTCAGAAATGGAACTGCACAAAAATGAGACTAGTTAAACTGAAATTAAAAGGAACAATCACAAGAATGAAATCCCTGCAAACAGCATAGAAACTTTTTAAAAACTATCATAATAGAGGCTCAAATTATATGTAAACCCCAAATAAAAAAATGGTAAGAGGACCAATAGAATGCCACCAGGGCAAAACAGAGTACAAGAGGCCATTTGAGACAAAAAAAATCCTTTAAAAACTGGAAGTCAAATCCTACTGAGGAAAATAGAAAGGAGCATAAACTCTGGCAAGTCAAGTATAATTAGGCAGGCCAAAAAATAATTTGAAGAGCAACTAGCTAAAGACACAAGAACTAAACAGCAAAAAAATATTTAAGTACAACAGAAGCAGAAAGCCTACCAAACAATCAGTGTGGCCACTGGGCGATCGAGGTGCTAAAGGAGCACTTAAGGAAGACAAGGCTATTGTGGAGAAGCTACATGAATTCTTTGCATCGGCCTTCACTGCAGAGGATTTAATTTGAGGGAGATTCCCACACCGGAGCCTTTTTTTTTAGGTGACTAATCTGATGAACTGTCCCAGACTGAAGTGCCAATAGAGGAGGTTTTGGAACAAACTGATAAATTAAACAGTAATAAGTCACCAGGGTCAGATGGTATTCACCTAAGAGTTCTGCAATTTCATATTGAGTTCCTTTGGAACTACTGTGGTATGTAACCTATCGCTTAAATCAGCCTCTGTACCAGATGACTGGCAGATAGCTAACATGACACAAATTTTTAAAAAAGGTTCCAGAGGTGATCCTGGCAATAATAAGCCAGTAAACCTAACTTCAGTATCAGGCAGATTGGTTGAAACTATAGTAAAGTACAGAATTATCGGACATGTAGATGAATACAATACACTGGGGAAGAGTCAACACAGCTTTTGTAAAGGGAAATCATGCCTCGCCAATCTATAAGAATTCTTTGAGGGGTCATCAGACATGTGGACAAGGATGATCCAGTGGACTTAGTATACTTGGACTTTCAGAAAACTTTTGATAAGGTCCCTCATTAATCGTTCTTAAGCAAACTAAGCAGTCATGGGAGAAGAGGGAAGGTCCTCTCATGGATTAGTAACTGGTTAAAAGACAGGAAACAAAGGGTAGGAATAAACATAGGAATAAACGGTCAGTTTTCACAGCGGAGAGAGGTAAATAGCAGGGTCGACCCAGGAGCTATACTGGGACCAGTGCTTTTCAACATGATCTGGAAAAAGGGGTAAACAGTGAGGTGGAAAAATTTGTAGATGATACAAAAGAAAGGACGTCCAAAGCAGACTGTGAAGAGTTACAAAGGGATCTCACAAAACTAGCTCAAGAAATTTGCAAGGCCAGCTTTTCTGATGAACAGGGTAGCCTGCCATGAACCAGAATCCATAGAACTTCTGTGGCTTTTGCAGTTTTTCGTAGAGCAAACCACATTTAATACTTTGAGCCTTGGTTTGGGGAACCCCGGAGAGTGATGTTGTGCTTTGGAACCTTTATAAACTGAAGGAACTTCTCAAATTCAGAATCAAGAACCGAGTCCTGCAAGATGCTGAGTGACTTCCCCTCTCAGTAGGAAATAAAAGGGGCTCGGCACCTTACAGGATTGGATTGGAAGCATGCAAAAGCTGTGTGTGTGCAGACCAGGCCTAGAAAACACTGTCTGTGCCTTGTGTCCGTTAATGAAAAAATATTGGGACAGCAAATCATTTAAGAATTTTAATTAAATTGAAAATTTTTCAATACCATTTATTTTCTGACCTCAAAATCTCTGCTAACCCTTGATTAAATTGAAATATTAGCTCAACTTGCTCATTCTTCATTGTAGAATTCAGAAGTAATGTTACTGGTGGTGAAAGGTGCCAGATCAACAGCCTTGGAGACTGGAGTCTGCTGTCAATGAAGCAGGTAGTACCTGGGTAGCAGTACAACATATTTCCCTACGCTGACTTGCTTCTGAGTCGCAGACCTTTCATGGAGGATCATCTGAAAAGGTAAATTCTCTCTTTTACCAGTTTAATGTGAGGCCTCTAAGATGAAGCAATCAACAATGGGACTAATTAGTGACATTGTGGTGGCATTTTTGTAATGGGGTCATCTGCCTATTAGGAAATAAACTGATAACTCAATGAATAGGCCAGGCTCAGTTATCTGAATTGTGTGATTTTTGGTCACTAATGAGCTGGGACAGAGCTGAACCAAAGACCTACAGGAGAAGAGATGCTCTCTCTAAAGCTATCTCTATAGTGTGTATATTCTATTAGCAGCTTCCTACAATACCGGGCCAAATTCTGCTCTCAGTTATACTAGTATAAATCAGGAGTAGATCCACTGAAGTCAATCAAGTTACACTGAAACCATTGTAATTGAGAGAAGAGTCTGGCCCACTATCTTTTGAGATATCTAGCTACGTAGTCGATACAGTAACTATTAACATCAGTATCGCAGCTCTCGATTGGCTAGATATGATGCAGTTGCTTGGATTTCCCCATCCTGACTGGGACTTCAATCAGAGTTAGCTGGCTGAACCCACAAAAGACAGAAGGACTGATTCAGCTCTCAGCTACGCCAGTGTAAATCCAAAGTAACTCCACTGAAGTAAATGGAGTTATTCTGGATTTTCACCAGCATAACTGAGAGCAGAATTGGCCCAGACATTATGCTGATTGGCTGGGGGAAGCGACAAGAAGAAATAGCAGAGATTATTTCTCGCCCTTTGATTGTAGGGGTATGCCTGACTTTTGTAACTAAAAGTTCACAGCTGAGGGATCCTGTTAAACATTCTGTGCAGTTTCTGGTTCTCAGACAGCAGCAGTAGCCAAGAGCACTTTTCTTCATCCACAGACAGCTGGAAGGTTGCAACCTTTCCTTTTCAATGTGGACCCTGCTACAGTTATCCAGAACTTTGTAATCTCCAGAGTGGAGTACTCCTGTGCATTGTTCCCTATGATGACAGTACCTGTAAACCTCTCAGAGACTTCAGCTGTGCTGAAGAATGCTGCTGCCTCCATTATTTAGTGGTGCTTTTTGCATGTAGCATTTTACCCATGTGCTCCAGAGCCTGAACTGACTTCCATCTCGTTTCTAGGTCTGCAGTGTAGTTGTCTCTCTCATCAACAGAAATTGGTCCAATAAATGATATTATCTCACCCACCTTCTCTGTGCTCTATACTGACCATTCAGTTCAGATGATATGCAACAGCTAACTAAAGTTGTGTACATCCGCAAGTGGGGTTAGGGCATTTTCAGTGGATGACCCTCAACTGTGAAATTCACTCTCCCACTTGGTCTTAGAGAGCATGAATCAGATGAACTTCAGGGCTCGTAATAAAGCTGGACTATAATAATTACTCAGGCTTTATTCTGAGGAGGTGAGTTGAGAGCAGAAGAGCTCAGATTTTGTGGGTGGGGAAGAGGTTTAGCAGATGTTTTGCCAGTTTTGAACTATTCTGCTATATCCTTTCATAGACTGAGTTGATTGTATGCAGAGAGACTGACAATAAGTGAATTGTACAGCTTGAAAAATAAACTCAAAGTAGTAGGTGAATAAGCAATTTTAAGAGGTGAAATTTAGGTACAGCTGCCTTTGGTTTTGTTTAAATGTTTGCTTCAGCACTAAGGGTGATCGTCTAAAAATATTAAAAAGTCCAGTGCTATGAAGCAATGAAGTGTTATGATGAGAAAGGAAGACTTATACATTAATTAGACACCAATGTCAAATATAAAATTCACTTTTGGGAATGAATGTTCACTGTCTCACAGTACCATTATGTCTTCAGTTTGATTTGCATATTTCTTTGACCTTCATAGCATGAATTTCTTTACAGTGAAACCAGCTCTCAGTGATTCTTATTTGACCTTGAAGATATAAGGGCCTCGTCCTAATAGGTGCAGAGCACTTACAAATCCCTGGAAAGTCATTGGGAGTTCCAAGTGCTCTGCACCTCTTGGTATCAAGCCTTAACTTGATATTTTACTTTTATAAGAAAGCTCAAATAACATAATTTGATGAGTAGTAAGAAAAAGGCACCAAACTTTTTTTTTCCTCTCCCCCTCACACACACATACACAGAGCAGTAAAACACCACGTTTCTTAATTCTGCAAAATTTATATGTTAGCGCTATTATCTCAGCCAGTGCTAGTAAACATACAAATGAGGGAAGGCAAATCTCTGCCTGTCCTTATGGCATAAATGTCCTGGCTTTCCTCATACAGGGTGACCCTCAACAACTGAAGCTGGGACTGAAAAAACATCTGCATTGTGCTGCAGACTCAAATCCTGATATAGCTCTAAGCTTTAGGATTCGAATGAACCCAACAAGATTATGCAGAGGGGCAGCATAACTCTACACATTAATTAGAGCTATGTGGAAGGACATATTTATTTTGGGGTAAGCTACTTTTTCTGATATTTGTGTTGCCTGATTCTGATTTCATTTCACTGTCTTTCTAAGTAATAATCAGCCATTATCATAATCTGTGATGTGAAGATTTGGTATGAGCCAGCCTTAAATCATATTTATGCCATAATAAAGTAAAGGTATTTAAATCTGCTGCAGTTGCTAATTACTTTAGACTGCATTCTATTTTTTAAAAAATATTCTGGCTTTTACTCACAAATTGTTGCAATTATTGACTAACTGCTATTAAAAGTAAGCAATGCAACTTTCATTTTCTGAATTTCTTTAAGAGTATAATAATGCAATAGAACAGAAGAAAAAGGGCTCAATATTAACAGTGTAAAAAAAAAACAGTCAGTGCAGCAGGACTGAAAATTAAGGAACATTAAGCACAACAATATCTCTGAAGACTATTAATGTATTGGTAATTTCGTTGCATATATCTGTATTTCCTTACCTTGGATGTGAATAATTCTGTCATGCTCCAGAGTGTAGTTGCCAATATGTTCAGCCCAGCAGATAGAAATCAGCACCAGAAAAAGTAGACTCTTCATTTTTTATAGCCAAAAGAATCTTCTTCACTGTGAGAGCATCACATACAAAAAGGCTTGTGAATTTTGGAAGTCTTTAGTGTTGCACTGCACAACTTGTTACAGCCTGATCATGGTATAACGGGTCTATAAAATATTTAACCCTCTCTGCTGAAAAAGTTACAGTAGCTAGTATTTTAGACATAAAGACTGAAGCTTTTCTCATTAGAGTTACCTATATCCCGTTAAATGAAACTAGAACTCAAACAATATTTAACTCTATCTATGCAGAAGTGCAAATATGAACATATACAAGTACTCATAAACATACATGAAATAAACTACTTGGAAGACCAAAGGTAAGCAATAACTGTGCTTCTAAAAATGTTTTAGTGTACTTTTGGTTTTCCAAAACTACTCCATATTGGTCTATTAATGCAAGTAACAATGATCTAATCTATAACCATATACTGTATAATACAAACAAATAAAAATGAATCCTTAGCAAGTAAATAGTATTTTCATGGCTTTTGGCATTTTAGTCCAGGCTGCAAGTTATCTTAGCAAACTGTGTGTTAACTTTACTTGACCCAAACAGAAAAGATGACAGAATATTTGTCAGACAGATCAAAAAAGGTATATTTTATTTCAGATCCACTTACCATTTTAAAGGGTGCCTAAGTATACAGAGAAATGTTGGGAACCATGCACAAAGTAGGTTAGTTCTATAGGCTACCACTGCAGTTGCCCTGATTGATTTTTCATTCATTTCTACCTAGAATGCTGACGCACTAACTTAGTGTGCCAGGTAGGGTCTCTGCAGTCAGCAGAGCTGAGCGCTGCAGGGAAAATCTCTGCCAGCCTCAGAGTAATAATTAGGCAAATGAAGACCTGAAATAGATAACAAGGCATAAAATACAAGAGGTCTTTTGCAGAGGGTTTAAGCTGATGTACTCTTCAGAGCAATCACTGTTATAACACTGGATTCTCTAAATAGAGGAACATATTCTCAAACTTCGCCTTTCAAGAGACTAGGATTTTTTTTAATAAACTTCAAATAATGAGAATGTTATGAAACAACTACTTATGACATACTTAGTATATTCTTACTGAATATAGCTTACTAATAGAGAAAGCACATTTTATTATCTTGTTTTCTTTTATCAGAACTAGACATGAGTCTGACCTCAAACCCCAGATCCAAACGCCCCCAAACTTAGGGGGGTGCTCACAGTCAGAACCCAGATCAAAATCTGCAAACAGTCTCTATCCCTATAATACACTAGCCCGTGAATGTAAATAAATTACTCATGAACATGAAGATGTTTCGAATCCAGATCCAAATGTGATTTGAGCCTATCTCTAGTCATAAGCTAACAAGCACAAATAGAGCAATTGTGCTGCTATTTTCCCCCCATAATAGAACTTTCATGTCAGCACTGCTGCAGAATGCTGGGGACAAGAACAAGGGCAGAATATTAACAAACAGGGGTCCAACTGTCCATGGACCCTTACCTTTGATAAAGATGAATCTTAGTGTTATCATGGATTCTAGAGTGAGATGACTTTAAAGTCTGATTTTTGCTTTCTTTAACAATGTTTGATGCATTGGTTCAGTGATCTCTTGGATAGCCTTTGCTGGAGTGGTTCTTATGTTTCCTGGCTGAATTTTTAAAGATGTTTTTCTCTAGTGAAACCCATACGAAACACAGACAGCAATGTTATGCCACCTGCCTTGCCAGTTGGTGACTCCCAATGTACTGACAACATTCACTCTGATACGTACTGAGGTGAAACTGGCCCATTCTGTCGGCAGTAGGGTTACCATACGTCCTCTTTTTCCCAGACATGTCCGGCTTTTCGGCAGTCAACCCCCCAGAGGGTCCTCTTTTTTTATTTATGAGATATGGTAACCCTAGTCGGCAGACATTGTACAAGTTTACCACAATAGCTCTACCAAGACATGTCAGCTAACCCACTTTGGGCTTTTCTTAAGCAGAAAGTACCAGTCATACAAAATTGCATACTTGTGGAGTAAGCCAGTATTTTAATGCATGTCTTCAGAGCCAGTCTTCCCCCACCCACACAAAATAATGCTGCCAGCTATTTCGAGCTCGGAAATGGCCCATAAGGGGCTGTTGCAGCCAGAACATAAATTAGAGAAACCCTGAGGCTAACCTAGTGTATTCTGAGAACTAGTCATACTCCTGAACAGACTGTTACCAGGAGCACAAATATGGCTCCCATTTCCATTGATGTGATTGGTGCAGGAGCAAAGAATCAGAAGTATCAGGCCTAGATGTCCAGTAACATCAATCACTTCTCAAATTCCCCCTCTTATTCTCCCATCAGGTTGCATACCACAGTCGTACATATTTTTTTTCCCATGACTCTTCTCCATAATTTTTTTGGTCAGGCAGGCTTTGCACAACCAGTCCTAGTGGCAGAGTACAAGGCTAGGACTGCATACCTCAGTGGTAAGGAGCATCTTTCTCCCTCTGATACACAATCTGACTGACTATATAGTTAACTTCTACAACAAAGCTTCAAACTCATGAGATTACTGAAGGTGTTGCAATTTTTCTCATAACCACATGAAAAACTGCAGGCGAGGAGGCAACTCAGGAATTAGAAGCTGAACTGCCTGCAGTCCCTACTTCTAGCCACTAGAAGCTGCATGCTCTGATCCTTCTCCAGCTTCATTATTGTGCAATAAAACTGGGGGCAATGTGATGATCCCAGTACAACCCAAGGAAGTGAAGTACGATGAGTGGCGAATTCCCCCCCCCACACACACACACTGTTGTGTTTATTTCAGGTTCAATTTGCACTCTGAAACATGAGCACACTAATGGGTGTCAAGATCTTTAGATTTAAGAGTTCAAAATGCAGGAGTCACACAACAGGCCCAAAATATGATTTAAAACAAACACACACAACCAAAAACCCTCATGTATTTTATACTAATCCCTTGATTTTTTATATGTTGAGGAAGGCAGTGCTGCATCAGCTTTCTTAATGGAAATAATTTACAATGGGTCATTACAAGGGTTTTCCCAAATTATTATGTTTATAGAGGCTAGCCAACAAATGGTCACTATACATGCCTGGGCACGTGCATCCACACACACACACACACACACACACTCGCACACACACACACACACACACACACACACACACACAGAGTTAGGATGTGTGTGTGTGTGCGCGCGCGCTTTCCCTGCCTCTGATCAGGTTTATCTCCTGTTATGGTTACCATCCCTGCCAGGCTGACTTTGCCTTTGTAATGCACCAGAATTACACCAGATAATAGGGGGACTTTAAGATAGGTCCTGGGGGAGAATATATCAAGGTGTCTTCTCTAAAGATTCATCCTTCTCTCCTGAAAAAAATCACCCAGCATCTTAATCTTGGGTCTGGCTGAGCTGTGATCAATTCAGGACTAAGTTACAGCAGGACAAAAGTGGCTATATCCTTAGGGCTGTCGGGCGACTGTTCGACCTTCAGCATAAATTAGAGCTGCCTCAAGACTTCTCTAGTTTATCACCACCTACAATGGCCTTCAAGGTGCTGTTGTGGATATTAAGAATTTCTGAATCAAGATGCATTCTGACCTCGCCCCTTCCTTCTCCTGGAACATCCCCTATGTCTGGAGCTGTGATTTTGGAGGGGACACAGAGCTGTAGAATTGCAAAACAGACTTATCAGGGCCAGTGATTTGACACTCAGTATTTTGTAGGTTTTCTAGGAGCTATTAGCCAAAGCAATTTGCATCTTCCATGCTAGCCTCAAAAAAAATAACCCGTCTGAGTTTCTGCTTCTGCAGCAGTCCAGGAAGACTCCGGGGTGAGATGATGGGTGTGAATATTTTGATATTAAAATGAATACAACTATTGGCAGTCAGTGAATGTTGGGGGAAAATGATAATGGTTTTCTGGGCTCAAGAAGTTTGCACTGGTTTAGATTGTTGTAGTTTACATAATCTACTATTTTACAAGATAGGGAGGCAAAGAAGCTGAGCATTTACTTTTAAAATTTATTTTTAGAGGCTCTCAGACCTTAGTGTAATGGTCAAGAACTAGACAACAAATTAATTTTTAGGGCTTGCTTTGCATTCAGTTTATAAATTCTCTCACTTTGCTCCCCCTTGGTGCAGTAGGAAATCATGATGCTCATCAGTAGGAAATCATGATGCTCATCAACTAGATTACATTTTGTTATATTTAAGTGGCCATTACTAATCTAGATTACTACTAGCAAGTGTAGAATGCTAAAAAGCATTATTAATTATATTTTTGGTAGCATAGTCTAAAAATCAGTAACATATCTTGATTAGGGTTACCATACGTCCGGATTTTCCCGGACATGTCCGGCTTTTGGGGGCTCAAATCCCCGTCCGGGGGGAAATCCCCCAAAGCCGGGCATGTCCGGGAAAATCGGGAGGCTCGGCCGGGGCCTCTTTGTCCGGGGTCGGGGGCATGGT